AAATTGTAACAAAGGCAGAAGAGAGGGGAAGAAAAATAAGACGCTAAGCGCTTAATTTACGAGCGCGGCGACAAGTGGATGCTTGGCTCGGCAAATGCACTTGTTGTTCGCTAGAAAAACTTGTGAAAATTCGGAAATATTGTGCAAGGCTAAGATCTTGCCGTCTCGAGGGCGTGTGTATTTTTTTTGTTTTTTGTTTTTTTTTTTTATCGGCGCAAATATCTGTAATTGCAATGCGGTTGAGGCTAGTTGACACATAACTCTCCGTCCGCTGTCTATGGGCTTTGGGTGAAATCTTGACAGCGCAAAAATGTAACAAAAAAAATGACAAAAAATGACAAAAAATATAAAATGTCAGCGTAGCTTGGCTGAACATAAATTACATTATTCTTTGTCAACATTTGTGAGTCAAAAACGTGTTCGCTGTTCATGTTAAACAAATAACTCACTTGTTGCTGCCGCTGCTGCTGCTGCTTCTTCTTCTTCTTGTCCATCGTCTGCTGCTTGCTGTTGTTGTTGTTGTTACTGTTGTTGTTACTGTTGTTGTTTATGCGAGCGTTATTTACGAGACATCAGTCAGGCTGAATTTCAGGTCCCCAAGCAGCCGAGCAGCCGAACAGCAAAGCATCGAAGCCAAGATCTCTCAGTCAATGGCGTGTTGTAATCAGAGCATCCTTAATAAATCATAAATTTATTCGGATACCCCAGCGTGTGTCTCCTCCTCGGCCTCGTGCATGTAAAGAGAGTATTCCACGCTGCAGGGCCTTCGCATTTGTTTGCCATTCCATTCTGCATACATACATATATATATATATATGCACATATATGTATATATATAGGTTGGGTTTCTTTCGGTTTCGTTCGTTGTCAAACATTTTATGGAGTTCACACAAAGAGCGTTCGATTTTGCACCAGTTTTGTCGTATGTCGCCCAATGCGACCGCCACCAGAGAGGCGCGCCCCCCCCGCCTCGCCCACCGTCTTGCTGTCTTTCAACCTTTTTCACTTTGAAAATTCCCCCAAAACTCTATATTGATGATGATGTTGTATCTCATCTTTGGGTTTTTGGGCTTTTCGACCGTTTGCATTCGCTGCATACATTATGTTTACTCAATGCAAAAATAACAAGTGTGCCGCACTTTGTGAGCTCGCCTGACTGGCACATTCCCTGTAAAGTTTCTTGAGCTATTTTATTTATTTATGATTTTTGCTCAATAATATGCAAGGTGAATATTAGGGTTCTAGCTTGGAGCTTTTGACTAGTTTGAGTATGCCAAACTTAGATTTCCAGAGATTCGTTTTATATTTAAATATTAGGCAGTATATTAAAAATACTAGATACTAGATAAAAGATACTCAGTATTAGATATTGGATACTAGATTCCAGATATTAGATACTAAATACTAGATACTAGATACTAGATACTAGATACTAGATACTAGATACTAGATACTAGATACTAGATACTAGACACTAGATACCAGATACTAGATACTAGATACTAGATACTAGATACTAGATACTAGATACTAGATACTAGATACTAGATACTAGATACTAGATACTAGATACTAGATACTAGATACTAGATACTAGATACTAGATACTAGATACTAGATACTAGATACTAGATACTAGATACTAGATACTAGATACTAGATACTAGATACTAGATACTAGATACTAGATACTAGATACTAAATACTAGACCCTAGATGTCATATAGATCTCAAACCCAGTCTGCGGCCTCTTGTATAAATAATTATTGATTTAGTGTCTGCATTGTTGCTCTCCTTTTTCATTGCTAATTTGTAATTAACTTTTGAGATTTTCTTGAGATTTTCGAAATGCTTTATAATACCCAAGTATCACTTCTCTTTAGCTAAGGCTATTCTGAAACGCATTATAATACATTTATGAGTTGAGCGAAGAGATTTCAGTTAAAAAAATACCATTCAACCTTTTACAACAGCTCAAAAGGCCACATGCCAAATCCAGCACTTAGATTTGCAGAGTTCAAAAAGCTTAAGATATATATATATCTATACAAATATCTTTGAGAATGATTTTTTAGCCGATCGGATGGCTTACCCAAAACCTTTATGCAACCGTTTATCATGGCTTTTCCATATTTCCGGGTGGAATTTCCACTAGGCCCATTTCAACATCCTAGCGCTTTTCCTGCGTTGATCGATCAGTCAGTCAGTCGAAACTATATAGAAATATATCAATATATGCACGTAAATATGAATGTATGTATGTATATTTGATGCGTACAGCTACTCTTTACCTTAAACAAGCATTTGCAATTTGTTATATTCCTTTTTGCTTTCTTTTGGCTGTTTTGAATGGGGAACAGGGCATTGCAAAAAGAAAAACCGGAAATAATAATTCGATAAATGCGCCATGAAGATGCAGCCAAAAAAAAAAAAAAACAAAATAAAAAGAAATATCTGTAGCTAAAGCTGAAGCTGAGGCAGAGGTTGCAAGCTTGAGTTGCCAAGACAGCAAAACCGTTCGTTTTGCTGCTGGCTGCGTTGCGAATTGATTGCAACAAGACCCCAGCAAGAAGAAGCAGAAGAAAAAGAAGAAGAAGTACAGCAACAGCTCGCGAAATTGGTATTAAAACAAAACGACGGCCCCAAAGGCCGCCTCGCCAGCTCCCCATTGACCCTGCAAGTGACGGAAATGCGTATGCCAATTCATTTATCTATTAATGTGAGAGGGAAAGAGAGGGGGGGATGCGAGATGGTGGAGAGAGAGAGAGGGGGAAGAGTGGAAGCACTGACTAGACCGGAAATGCGCGTGGGAGTCTTTTTTTGTCTTCTGTATAGCTCAAAAGTTCTTGAAGCGGATGAAGCCGACGACTAGAACTGGCGCATCCGCCGGGCCAGGACATGGTCAGATATATTCCCATTGTCGTTGCTGCGGCCCCTTTGGTTGTTGTCGTTGTTGTTGTCGCTGTTGTTGGTTGTTTTCGCTTATCTCAGTGAAGCATCTCGAATCGCATTGCATCGCCCCGTCGCAGCGGCAGCTTCCGTTCCAGTCCAGTCTACCCTCTCCCCACCCTCCCACAGAAAACACAAATCCCAAGCACAATTCCCCCTTCGGGCTTGCCAATCCTTTTGTCGGGGGCGATCTGTGAATTGCTGACTTGTTGTTGTCCTGCATTTTGCGCATATCTCAAAATTAGTTCAATTGGCAAGCAGCTTTTGGGGTAATCGATCGATCGATCGCTCGGAATTGGCGGCATTCGATGCCTTTTCCATATGCAAAAATGCGCCAAATAACTCGAACATCTTCTCTGTGCGCTTCTCACTCTGCTCACAGCTTCAACAAAATCGTTTGCATAACATTTCTTTGCCACATTTTCAGCACAATTTGTCGCAAGTAGAAGCGCGTAACGGTATACGCTGCAGATTAAAGACTCGACGCTTCTTAAGATTAACATAAAATTGTGATTCTGGAAAACCAACTAAAGCTTGAGATGAAGAAGAAGAGTGCTCTAGTCGGCAGTGCTCGACTGGCAGATACTCTGAACCCTGATCACCGCGCCGAGCTGACAATTCATCAAATTGGAACTTCCTGACGCACAAAAAGACATTCCCGTAGATTCAAACTATGTTTGACAAATGCTATCTCAAGAAACATCAATGATTATAGTCGCAAGGCTCTACCTTTCATATTGAGTTTCTTTAGACGATTTGTTGTGAATGGGCAGAGTTATTCAAAAGCATATATATTCCTCTCCTGATTACCAAGTTTCATGTAGATAACTTTATTAAACTTCGAGTTATGCTTCAATAACCTTGTCTCAGCATCGATATTTATCGATATATTGAATATGGAAAGATGTATCGACTTGATTAGCTCGTTTCGAGTATGAAATATATATCGAAACTAAAATCTCTAGCTTTTTGTCTGCCAGCGCGATGCACACAGAAGGCCAGAGAGAGGGGCTGATGGGATAAATCAAACATATATACCATTAATAGGCTCGGATAATCTTTCTTTTGCCTGTTAAATACAGCGTATATTAGCGTATATCATAATCGAAGACATGCCTAGAGCACTCATACCTCTATAATGTTTAGGGTATTATAATTTTGTCATTAAAGGAGACACATCCGACCCCGTATAGTAGATATATTTTAGATGAGCAGCAACTACCGAATGATATAGTCATGTCCGTCAGTCCTTCCGTATGTGAAATTGTCTCTCACTATATGTGTTTGAAATTTTCAATAGATCCGTCTTATGACTGAACCGACAGGATCGGAGCACTATATCATATAGTTGCTATTATATCTTATAGCTGCCATAGGAAAGATTCATCGAAAATAAGGTTCTTGTATGTCAAAATATTCTGCTTGCCCAAATAATTCCAGTAAACAGAGTTTCACATATTCTCGCATATTTGGCAAAAGCGAAATGTCTTTCAGGGTGCCGAAGACAACGTTACCTTACTTACGGTTAAGTATATATTTTTGAATAAGTCAAAATGCACTCAAAATGCAACAGACAGAAATTCTTCTGTTTAATCTTCAATTGTAGACATATTCTTCTCAAATTCTCAACTTATTCTGTTTTATATTTTTCATTCAATCGATGCTCCCCTTCCCATCTTCTTCTTGTCGCAATTCCCATTTTCGTTTTCTTCCAATAATAAAATATGTTTGTTGATTTGTTTTTAAAATTAGTTTTGACTATATTTATCAGTTTAGTGTCCTCCATGTTTTATTGTTTTTTTTTTTGTTAAAAAAAAAAAGTTGTTTAAAAGTAATTGTCTTCCATGTTCTTAGCTAGTTCTTAGATTTAGGCAGTCTTATAAACTATATAAAAAGCAGGCACATTCAGCGCTCTTAAAACTAATTTGTACAAAAAAAAAATAATAGGATTACGAGAGTAGAAAAAAAATGCGCTTAAACTAGAATAAATACTTTCTTTTTGCTGAGGTAATACTTTGAGGCCAGGCGTGTGTTGCGTTTGGGTCTGACTAGTTGGCTGCCCTGGAATTGGTTTCGGTTGGGTTGGATTGGCTTGGGGACTGCACTCAGATGTCGTCCTGCCACAGGGAGATGTAGTCGAGTATGTCGTCATCCTCGGCGCCGGAGCTGCACGAATTGTTGGGATAATCTTCATAGCTGCCGCCGCTCGACTCCAGCTTCAGTTCGGTTGGCTGCGTCGCATAATAGTTGCTGCTGCTGGAGTTGGAGGCGTTCGAGTCGTTGGAGGCGTTGGAGCTGCAGCTGCTGCCGCCGGGCGAGATGAGCTGCAGTTGCTGTTGCAGTGCATAGAATTGCTGTTGCTGCTGTTGCAACTGTTGCTGCTGGTAGCTGAACTGTTGCTGCTGTGCCAGCTGCTGTTGCGGCGACAGCAACTGTTGCTGCTGCTGCTGTTGCTGCTGCTGATCGTTGTCGTCGATGAGTCGCTGCAGCCGCCTTATATACTCGACGGCCATGCGCAATGTGCTCACCTTGCTGAGCTTCTTGTTGGCGCCGGGTCCAATGCCGCGCCTGCCATTACTCAGATCCGCAATGATCGCAACGGGTATATGCTGTCGCAGCTGGCTGAAGCCATTGTTCACCTGCTTGACGCGATTGCGTTCCCGTGCATTGCGACGCACCACCGATGGCCCGCCCAGCAGCATCGGCTGTTGTTGCTCCGATAGCAGCAACTGTTGCTGCTGCTGCAGATAGTTGTTGCTGCTCGGCTTGGCATAGGGCGCCAGACGATAGAGACTACGGCTTTGATTCTCGCTGCCCAGTGCCATTTTTTGTAGTTGAAAATTGTTCTTTTACTTTTTTGGTTTAGTTTGTTTTGGAATTATTCTGGACTTGGACTTGGCCCTGCGAGCGCTGTCGCTGTTCTGATGCCCTTCCCTGCGCCGTGCGCGCTATTTATAGGGCGCATCGTAGCCACAATTCTCACCTGCCGTTGCAGCAGCAGCAGCAGCTACCTGTGTTCCAGACAAAAGGTGCAAACGCGCAGCCAACCAGCGAGCAGCATCCGCTCAAGGATCATTCACTCAAAAAGATGACGGGGGGCTGCACTCACTCGAGAGTTTCACTCACTCGCTCAATTTCTCTCTCACTCAATCGCTCGCTCTCTTTCTCTCTCTCTCTCTCTCTCTCTCTGCCGCTCTGCTGAGCTGGGAAGAGTCTTGAGCATTTTCCTCTGCCAGACTGGGAAGAGTTTTTTTTGCAGTTTCTTTTTTTTGTTTTTTGGTTTTTGGAGCAGCTGCCTTTGATTATATGTCTGTGTCCATTGACTGGCTGTCGCTCTCTCTCTCTCTCTCTCTTTATTTCCTTCTCCCTCTTTCTCTCTTTCTCACTCTCTTTCTCTGCCTCTGTTGCTGTCGCGTGCCGGCCGCGAACCGGTTGCTCGCTTGTTCGTGTGCCCGCACTTTGGAGCAGTTGTTGGCTGCCCCCCCCCCCCCCCCCCCTACCCATCATCCCCCCATTCCCCCCCTGCTGCTTTAAGATATCCTAGAGTTGGGCCCCTATACATTTGGTCAGAGTATCGTGCAGCTCTCAAGGTCTGACCGGTTGCAGTTGACCATTAACACTTCTAATGCCAGGTTGTCCTTTATGGACAACGTCTGGGGCACCCGTTGTCACAAGGACAGCGTCCCGGAACGTACTCGATAGCATTTAGCCCAATTGTTAGCGCTGATCCTTTATGCCCGGTGCGGCTCTGCTGGTTGCCCGCCGGCACAAAACCGTGTCAAAGCGTTTGACATTGGACACCTTAGCCTCAGCCACAGCCTCGGCCTCAGCCTTAGCCTCAGCCTCAGCCTCAATGGCCCAATGGACCGGCCCAGCCGCACGCTGTGCCTCATTTAACACTTCGTTGCAGCAGCAGCAGCAGCAGCAGCAGCAGCAGCAGCGACAGCAGCAGCGGGAGATTGCATAGCATTGCATGGGCCAGGAACCATGTTCAGGTCCAGGTCCAGGTCCAGATGTTCAGCTAGCCAGAGCTGACCCGAAGCTGACCCAGAACTGATTTGCGAATTACTTTGCACTGATTCGATTCTCGATCCGTGGCATTTATGTTGATGCAATAGAAATTCGCTCTGGGGTGAAGGGATCTCCATTTTTTGTGCATTATATATTTTGTTTTGTTTTTGTCTTCTTCATCTTCAATGTCTTCTTTATCTTCTCTTTTCTGCCCCACAGTTTGCGTGCTCGTCGCTCGCATCGTTCCTATATATAAATTGTGAATTATTTTTAACGTTTCGCGTTCCATTCGAACGTTAACCGCGGCCCGGTTCGCTTTGCGTTTCGGCACGCTTAATGCCGCCTGAACAGGCCACAATAACGGTTCGCCGGGCATAACCGACAATCGAATGCTCTGCAAATAGTTTGATTTTGAGCAAATATATTGAGGCCTTAAACAGCAGAGTGCTCTACACACTCCATAACTGTAGTTTTAGCTCATAAGAACCAGCTCAAAAGCGGTTCAGAGTCAAAAAATACGAATTCCAATCACACGATACTAAATGTTTTCCACTTTAGTTTTATTTAAGGTTTCATACAAATGTTGTATAAATTGTATATTTTTATAGAATATATAAAATTTAAGCACATATGAACTAGTTCTATAGTAGTTCAGACTCAGACTTCAGAAAATAACTCTGACATGAATCCAATTTTGTGTACATTGGGTTGATTTTTAGTTCAATGTAATTCTTATTTGAAAGCTCTAACTCTTCCTAACTCTTCCATAGCTGAATCTTACACGAACTATTATAACTCGTCAATGAGCCAAATGAACCAGTTCAGACATTTTGCGGAGCTACAACAAAAAGAGGTAGTAGAAAACTAATATTTGTTTTACATAAGATTAAATTTAACACACATTGTGATTTGTTAGAAAAGTAGAGCTGAAGCAAAAGACTTTCATATTTTATAATTCACTGAACCGGTTCGCAGTTTTGTAGTGAAACAAACAAATCGATATTAATAGAAAACTTACTTGGCTGTTTCGGAACATATTCGTATGACTAACATTTGATATGGGGGAAGATTTAGTTGGACGGTAGAAAAGAATTCCAGGTCTCCTCTGTGGTAATTCTTATGCAGAATTAATCTAAACATATATCACAACCCAGTTGATCCTCGATTTACTCGAGAAATTTGGCAGTTTCGCTTCTGAAATTTGGGATTCTAGCTCCAGGCTAGCCTTTCTTTAGATAAACAGCTTAAACATGGTAAAAACGTAGCGCATTTCTGAGTTACAATCAGATATATCAGTATTTCGATGAAAAACTAACTCAATCAACTGCGACAAAGCAGCTCACATAGCTGTTGCATCCAACGCTGAGGGTACATAATCAACAACTGTGGATGCCGCCACCGATGCCAAAGCCTTCTTTTGTTGTTGTTGTTGTTGTTGTTGTTGTTGTTGTTGTTGTTGTATTGTGGGGCCTTAAGTCTTTTGCGGCTGAGGTGAGACTGAGATGGAGACAGGTCGAAAACAACATGCGGCAGGGCAGCAAGTCAGCATGCAGATATATTTAGCGATCGGCAGCAGGCGCTATCATTATCTGACACAAAAATTTAATATAAATTATGTTGACATGTTGGCTTAAATATGGGACTGCGACCTGGAAAACACTGCTGAACAGGCGGGGCCGTGGAGCGTGCAGAAGTGAGGAAGGGGGGCCTCAGCCTTTGGCGGATAATTGAGCCGCCAGTCTGAACGCCGCGGATCGCGCCTAACTAGTTGAATAATATTTGCCGCAACGCGCTCGTAATAATTGCTAGTAAGACACGGCCAGCAACAAAACGAAACGAATCGAAACGAATCGCAACGAATACTACCCAAACGAATCGCATATGAATCCAAAATGCATTCACAACAACTGGCAGCAACTGGCGCGATATTGCCGCGAATGAAGTCGTCATTAATATCGACTTGGGCCTGTCAATAACTTGACATCGCATCATCATTTCGCTGCCTTTTTTGTTTTTTTTTTTTTTGTTTTTTTATTAATATTATTTCATTTTTTTTTTCCATCTTTATTTTTTTTTTTGTTGGTGTTTTCGCACACTTCTGCAAGCGGCTCCTGGAACTCCTTTTCGGCCAGACGCGCGACGATCATTCGAATATTCGCAGTTCCACTTTGTTGTTGGCTTCCCTTTTTTTTTCTTTTTTTTTCCGCCAACTTTCAGACACTTGGCGTTACGATTTTTGACGCGCCCCAAGCCAAGGTCGAGCTTCCAGGTATTTGTTGTAGATTTTACCCTTATTGTTGCTGCTGTTGTTGTTGTTGTTGTTGTTGTTGCTTTCATTACAGGCGCTGCACTTTGCATAAGTTTTATGTTCATCACATTTCGACTGTGTCATCTCGAGTTTTGCTGCGCAAGCGAAAGTTTTTGGTTTTTGTTTTTTTTTGTTTTAACTGAAGAGCTGCCTGCTTTGGAGCTCATAATTGTTGACCACGAAAATGTGCTCGAAATCTGAACTAAATTTGATTGCAAAAACTACAAAAAATACGTGCATTAAATCATAAATATACTCATATTTAAATGCAAGTTATCGTTAGATGACAATTTCGTGGGTTTTTTAAACTAATAATTAAATTTACCAGAAATAAATAATATATATATTTATATTTCATATTACTCCAGTTGCTGAGCGACCTTTTTTTGAAGTTCTATAAGAACATCAGGCAAATAATTTAAAGTTAATCAATTGGTGTAAAGAGAAGATCATTGCTGGAATTTTTAATGAAATGAGTTGAATCAATCAAGTTGATTGAACTGAAATCTCGCAAAGCTCTAACTCTGAGAAAGTGAAAGACTTGAGAGTCATTTAAACTGTTATGGAGTATATGTTAGGCTGGCTACAAGTCTTGGTTGGGTTAAGTGCTCTAGTCGGAGTTGCCTGAATTGGGGATACCATGAACATTCTTCTACCAAAACCAAATGCAGCGCTAGTAAGGGTAGGGATGGGATTCGGGGTTAACTAAAAGCTAAAAGGTACCTACTCTAAATGTACTAAACGAGCTCTTAAAACCTAAGAGTTTTGCACAAAAAAGTGGACATCTATTTCTATCGATTGCTTGGAAACGGGCAAAGTTATCGATTTCAGGAACTAGAGCACCCTCGCTTTTTTAGGTTGTAAGACAGACGCATTCATAAAGCCAAGTCACCTGTGAAGACGAGTTTAAGTCTTTGTCAGCCTAGGTTCTTACAAAGTTCGAAATCTGCCTGTTAAATTAACTGCCAGTTAAATGCATGGAATATGCTTGTATAAATATCATAGAATACTTTGATGCTTATGCTTGCGTCATAGTTTTCTTGCTTCTCCTGTCCACCCTGCCCCTACTCTCTCTCTCTCTCTCTCTCTCTCTCTTTATTTGGTTTGCTGCTCTCAATTCGATCATGAAATGTTTGACACCGGCTGTCAATTGTTCATGGCCATCAAATTGCCGCCTGATGTGCACATAAAAGCGCAAATGCCGCGCCCAGAAGCCAAATGCCCAAACGCTGACACCCACTCGGAATGGTCTCCTTTGGCGCAGAGCTTGCTCGTTGTTCGTTGTTGGCCTCAACTGATTTATGTGCGGCTGTCAGCGGCTGTTGTGACTTCTAAGGTGCGCATTTTGACGCCGCCGTCAATTCTATTTGGCCACATTCGCGCCGATATTTATGGCCAGCGGCCTCCAGCCAGGGGCCACATTCATGGCCAGTGCGAAATTCATTTTGATTAATTGTAATGCGAGAACTTTGATTAATTGCGGGGCAATGTTGCTGCAACAACAACAACAACAACAACAACAAAACATAACAATTTGTTATTTCGCGTTGCATTAAATCAATGTGCGACCCTCCCCCCCCCCCCCCCCCCCCCTCTTCCACTCCTCTACTGCTCGCTGTCAAAGGCGTGTGATTGTATGGCCAACACCTTTTTGGGGCCTAAATCGTTATCGATATATCGCAATATATATCG